TCGCACATTGTAGAATGGCGAAGATTTCTGTCTGGAATACGGTTGAGTGTTTACCTAAGGAAAAGGATAAACTTGCCCTTGGTCTTTCCCCAAATACTCCAGCTCCTGTTCCTTCAGCGGTCTTTGACCCGTCTGTATACCAGGTTAGTCCATCCTGAAGGAATGTTATATCTATCCACATTCCTCGATCCAATTTGTTCACCTCGAATGGTTTGTAGTGATAAAGAGGGGTCATTTGGTCCGATCTCATTTGGAGTAGAGGTCCCCCGATAGGATTTCCCATCTTTGAGTGTCCTGTTCCTGTCCTATTTCCCAGAGACAAGACACTTTGTTGTCGATAGAGTCCCATTCTTGCCTCCGCCTGGATCACTATGTGAAGAGGCGGAAGGTCCAGAAGCGCCTCCATTGATGCAGTGGGCGTTGATTTCATCGCCCCTGTTATGCTCAGACAAGCAAGTCTTTGCACCTTGCTGAGGCTGAGCATTGTTGTTTGTTGCATTACCTTAGGCCACCATGCCAAGGATGCATATATTACTGAAGGCCTCACCACTCCAGTGTACAGCCAGTGCACCATCTGTGGTCTAAGGCCCCAGATTTTTCCATGAAGGCGTCTGACAACCGCTAGTGTAGTCACCGCCCTCCTTGTGACATTTTGGAAATGTCGGTTCCAGGTCAGTTTGGTATCAAGCGTGATTCCTAGATACTTGACCTCCCCCGAGAGAGGAATCTCATCGCCGCAGAGTCTTAGAGGTGTAATAGTCCCTCAAGTATTCTGCGCTTGGTGAAGGGGATTATTACGGTCTTTGTAGGACTAATATTTAGTCCCTCCCGTGTCACCCATGATTCCACAATCTTCAAGGCCCTTTGCATTCGCTCCCTTACTGTTGTGTTAAACTTACCTCTGACTATCAGTCTGAAAATCGTCTGCATATCCCAGAGTGTTGAAACCAGCCCTGTTGAGACTATTAAGCAGTCCGTCCATGACGAGATTCCACAGCAGAGGGGAGAGAACTCCCCCCTGCGGGCATCCTCCCGCCACCCGGACTGCAACAGTCTCATTTAGTAGGGTGGTATATGCCACTCGACTTTTGAGCATGCAGTCTATCCACCTGCAGCAGGTCTCCTCTAATCCGAGGTTCCTTGTAGCTCTGGTCAGTAACTGAAATGAGGTGTTATCAAACGCCTCTTCTATGTCGAGGAATGCCCCTAAAAGCACTTCTCTTGTCTCAAACGTCGACTCCACTTTGTTTACTAGCTGATAGAGTGCCGATTCGGTTGATCGTCCTGCTGTATAGGCATGCTGGTCTTGGTGAAATGGTCTTTCCCATTATTTTATCCCTAACATACCTGTCCATTAGTTTCTCAAGAGCCTTTAGTACGAACGACATAAGACTGATGGGCCTAAAAGCCTTTGCCATAGAATAGTCCAGACGCCCATTCTTGGGTATAAAAGCTACCCTGGTCAGTCTCCAAATTCTCGGTATATATCCTAAGGCCAGACTAGCTCTTAGTAGTGTACAAAGTTTGCTCGTCAGTAGGTCTGGTCCTTTCTGGAGCATTATTGGACAAATACCGTCCGGTCCCGGTGATTTGTATGGCTCAAATGAGCTTATAGCCCATTTTATCTTTGATTGGTCAATCACCCTTTTTGAAACCTGTCAGTCTTCCCTTGAGGCTCTTCTCGTGAAGTTCTCAAGTCCACTACTCTTCCAGGTTTCTGGGGATTGCTCCAAGGTTGTTGATCTGGGAAAGTGTACCCGAAAGGGTTCGGTCATACTTTAGATTTGCACTTAAACAAAATTCTCAAAAGTTTTTTTTATTCCAGGAGTTACAGATGACCGACACACTATTGCCGGACCCTGTATAATATGTATTCCGTGCGTTTTGCTGACTATGTGCAATAAGGTATTTACATCATCATAATGACATAAACTTATCTTTCTCAAATAGAATTATAAAAAAATAAATGGTAAACCTATATTTCCTGTCAACGTTTTTAATGTCTGTTTAATTTAATTTTAATACGTTCAGTAGACTAGCAGAAAAGAAATAAAAGATGACGAAAACAATAAAACGAGCAGCATAACACTAAAACATCAGGCTGTTCACATATTTGCAATATTTTTCTGCAAATATTTTTTAATAAACTGATAAAATTTGGCTTAAAAATTTTTACACCCTATATTCTATTAATATCTCCACACAAGACATGTAAATGACAGCCAAGTTTGAACGAAGGAAATTTTTAAAACTCACAAAGGCGGAAAAACGAATTTTTCCGATACCTCCGCTCAGGTTTTTCGAACTAAGCTTGACAGATAATAGAGCAAAAAAATAAGGCCTGAAGGAAATCCCTAAACAACTTTTTTCTGGCCTATTTCTTCTTTCGACGCTTTATCCGAAAGGTCAAAAGATGTTTAGTTTTTTTTTTTCTTTTAAAGACCCTTTTTTAGGTAAATGTATTATTACATTTTAGGATAAAAGAATGAATAAAAGGAAACTTAAATAAAATATCTCGTGATCTTTTTAGTTTTCTGTATTTCTTTTCCAAAAACTCCAAAAATGTTATTAATTAACTGTCATAACTCGTCTGGATGTGATATACATTTCTACTTTTATATTTAAATAATTGTTAATATTAATGTTAATAATGTTTTTTACTTTATTTGTTTTATTATAAATATAAGTTTCTTTGACTATAAAAAGGAGGTGCGCCTGCAACTTGATTATCACATTAATTATAACTCTTAAACTGTTACATGGGTTAATATCAGAGCTGGTCAAACACCCGGTATATTGAATTTTGGATCAAATATGTTTTGCATCTGGTGTATACTCAATAGGTCACAAGGAGGACGGTGACTACACTAGCGGTAGTCAGACGACTTCATGGAAAAATCTGGGGCCTCAGACCACAGATGGTGCACTGGCTGTACACTGGAGTGGTGAGGCCTTCAGTAACATATGCATCCTTGGTATGGTGGCCTAAGGTAATGCAACAAACAACAATGCTCAGCCTCAGCAAGGTGCAAACACTTGCTTGTCTGAGCATTTCACAGGGGCAATCAACGCCCACTGCATCAATGGAGGTGCTTCTGGACCTTCCGCCTCTTCACATAGTGATCCAGGCGGAGGCAAGAATGGGACTCTATCGACAACAAAGTGTCTTGTCTCCGGGAAATAGGACAGAAACAGGACACTTAAAGATGGGAGATTCTATCGGAGGATCTCTACTCCAAATGAGATCGGACCAAATGACCTCTCTTTATCACTACCACAAACCATTCGAGGTGAACAAAATGGATCGAGGAATGTGGACAGATATAACATTCCTTCAGGGTGGACTAACCTGGTATACAGACGGGTCAAAGACCGCTGAAGGAACAGGAGCTGGAGTATTTGGGGAAAGACCAAGGGCAAGCCTATCTTTTCCTTGGGTAAACACTAAACCGTATTCCAGACAGAAATCTTCGCCATTCTACAATGTGCAAGAGAAAACAATAGAAGAGCTTATTCAGGTAAGCTCATCAGTATATGCTCAGACAGTCAGGCGGCACTTGGGGCGCTTGTGAACCCAAAGGTATCGTCGAGGCTCGTCTGGGAATGCCTGGGTGAACTGGGAGCTCTGGCACGAAGGAACAGAATTAAATTACTCTGGGTGCCGGGCCACAGCGGCATCCAAGGCAACGAAAAAGCCGATGAGCTAGCTAGGCAGGGATCATCGGCATCCTATCTTGGTCCAGAGCCAGTACTGGGAATACCCAAATGTTGGCCCGTAGTGCACTAAAACTCTGGATCAAGGAAAAGCACAATGTCCACTGGAGAAACAGACAGGGGCACAGGCACAGCAAGGCTTTTATCCAAGGACCTAGCTCTAAAACCGCAAAAGAACTGCTAATGCTTAGCAGGAATAAAGTGCGGATTACAACAGGCCTCTTGACAGGACACATGACTGTCAAGTGTTATCTGAACAAGCTCAACCTGTATCAAGGAAGTCTTTGCTGCAGACTCTGCGATAAAGATCATGAAACAGCGGAGCACATAATATGTCATTGCAAGGCTCTGGATCGCAAGCGACACTCTTTATTTGGGAAAGCTAGGCTAGAACCGGAGGAACTATGCTCCCATCCTATCAAGGTCCTGCATAAGCTAGTGCAGGGCACAGGGATAGGAGAATGGGTGCAGATATAGAAGGGGGACAAACACAATAGGCGCAAACACAATTTCGCAGTGTTTCCGGTAGAGGACGGCTCCTTGTTATGGAAAAAAAATACCCAATAGATTAATAAAGGCTACATTGAATTTTGGTAAATAGTACACCGAGTGCGTCTCAAAAGTGGCTAACCCCTATAACTTTTTTATTTTTTAAGATAAAAAACGAGATTTGGTATGTTGATGCGACAAGATGTGACTTTTCGGTCACATCTTGTTTCTCCGGAAATGACTACAATTTCCGATTTTTAAATGACACCTTCGGTATTTTTTTAATTTATTTGATAGAAAATGGCACTCTGAATATAATGACATCACATATGTCAACATAACTAAATAAATGTTAACATACAGTTCATAACGACAATTTGACTCGAAATACCAAGTGCGTGGTACCAAATTATTCGTAAAAAATATGCTAATGAGCCTAGAAATATCAAACAATCAAATCTATTTTTCCAAAGCTCCTTGATTTTTTAATCAAGAAGACTTTAATTTTTATTAGGAGTGACCGAAAATCATTGAATACGTCAATCAATCCTAATTTATCTCATACACTAACATACCAAATCTCGTTTTTTATCTAAAAAAATAAAAAGGTTACAGGGATGAGCCACTTTTGAGATGCACCCGGTATACCCTGTCAATTTGAGTAATAATATATACATCCAAGTATCTTTATTTTGTTAATTTAAGGTACTATAACAAATTTTAACAAGAATTGGTTGTTATCTTACTTACATTACCCACAAAGACTTTACCTGACAAAATTTTTATTAGCGACTTACGTTTGAAAAAACTTCTGACAGTTTCTTCCAGCTGTCGCAGAAGATACTAGGAGGTAGATGAACTTGTTGGTGATCTTCGAAAGAGGTGCTCGTTTCTTGAAACTGCGCTATTTTATCCTAAAAACTTACAGTAATACAGAAAGTCCTTTAAACTGAAATCAACATTCTAACCTTTGTACCAGCGCTTAAGTCCCATTTTTCCATATTAATATCCAGGTCGTTCCATTCTTGAAATGGTAAAGTTTCATGATCGGTACCTGATAGTTCTGTAGTAACCAGAGCATCTTCAAAGAATGAATATGCTTCTGTTTTGGAAAGCTTTCCTTTTTGCTTCGACATCTGTCAAACGTTTAAGTCATAATTATACCCTGTTTTTTATATTATACTCTGTTTTTTTTTCTCAGGTAAGATTTCGACAGACGATGACAGAAGAAAAGCAGATGACGTCCCATACCAATCTATTTATTTTACTAAAAAAAGTTTCTAATAATTTTAAAGTTATCTATGGATGGGTTTAAATATAAATCCTTCATACGTCGTGTCTTGTTGTTTTTAACCAGTTTTATTGGTTTATTTAAAAAATGACAGATCGTATTTCAATTTTATTGGTTTGACGATAGTTTGACGGAACGATGAACGACAAACGGACGCCGATGCGTATGAACACGCCTTTAGATTTTTGTCATTTTTGACGCTTGTCAAAGTCTTGCCAAATTATAGGATAGAATTTTGTGTCAACTTTTGTTAAATACCCTGCGTTTTGGAAGATGATGCATTTTGATTCGTATTATTACGTGTGTTTTGTGTCTTTTGAAGTCAAGTGAAGGAAAAATCGAGTGAAAATTAACTGTAGACCCAGAGCACAGTTTATGGTTAATACTCGCTGCCCAGACAGAAAGTCTTATACACCAATGAAGTTGCCATCGATAAAGTTTGTATACCATTTCGTCGTAGATAAGTGCATCTCGTATGTGGTAGAAGGATCAAACTAAACACATACTAAAAACTGGAGTAGCTGTAAAATATCGACATCACACGATAGGTAAATAATGGATATGTAATGGATTTTAGTACTGCAGAAAAATAATGTCAAAAGGTACTGGTTTAAAAAAATTAAGATTAAAGTTAATTAATCAACCTTTAAGGTATAAAATTTGGTAGGTGTTATTATTAATAAAATAGTTTGTTTTATTTACTCATGTTGTTTTATTTATTCCTGTGGAATATTACAAATTTGTATTTGTACATAAGTTATATTGATAAATATAATCATAAATGCGGGTAGTTTCATAAAGCTTGAAAGTAAATAATAGTTCTTTTTTATATTTTTTTGGTATGTAGTGTCTTGTTCTTGTTTGTTTTGTATTAACACATACCATTTCTATTAAAGAAAATAACTCGATTACATTTTTTCAGTTTTATACAGTTTTTTTCACAATATTTTGAAGTAATCACTTGTCATCTTATCAATCAAATTTTAAATATATCCTGCAATGAAGCTGCAATGCGTTCCAGTTGTACCAACTTATTTCTTTGTAAAATAAAATAAACTACTTTGAAATTAAAATGACAGACACATCTATCACTGTCAAGGATCTTCTCGTTGGACAGACTATATACTGTTTTTTTTCTCAGGTAAGATTTTGACAGACGATGACAGAAAAAAAGCAGATGACGTCCATACCAATCCATTTATTTTACTAAAATTTTCTAATATTTTTTAAGTTAACTATGGATTTTAGAGTTTATAATATGTAAATCTGTCATGCGTAGTTTATTGTTTTTAACCAGTTTTATTGGTTTATTTCAAACATGACATATTTCAATATTATTTGCTTGACGAAGGTTTGACGGAACGAAGATCGACAAATGGACGCCGACGCGTATGAACTCGACTTAAGATCATAGCTTAAGGCAGGGGGGTGACAGTGAAATAGGAAAATTGGAAACAGTCATTAGTGTCATTCTTGTCATTCTCCTGACGACAAGTATGGCCGCCTAGACAAGGACAGCATTGTTTTTGTCTAACTATTGTCTAACTTCACAGTTTAGAATTGACAGATTTCAGTTTCAGAGATAACTTCAGATTTGTTCTAGAACAAATTCGAAAATATTCGACGCCATTTTAATTCATTCCGTTTAGTTTCGTTTTGGAAGTTCAATTTAATATTTCGGCTGAAATTTATAAATATAAAGGTAATAAAGTATATAAACTATATATTACATGAAGAATCCTGGAGAAAATGACGTTTCTGCAGTAGTAGGTATGTCCCATGTATATGAAAAATAGGTAGTAAATAAACACTGTTTTTACATTTTTTAGATGCAAGAAAATGGTGTTATAGTCTCTTTGATCGGCGATTTTTTTGAAAATGGAAACAATTTACAGCAAGGTAAGATCATTTTTAACTATAGCCAACATTAGTTATCTCCAGTATGTGCGACTTATTGTCAATAATGCAATAAATCGGACTGATAATCTGATTATGTTATCCGACTAAAAGTCTCTTTTTGCTTCTTTTTGATTTATAAGCCAGGTCTCTTTGGGAATAATGGACGCTTTTTTTAAACAGTATTTATATTTTATACCTATTGATATTTTTACATTGTTAATTTTAGTATAAAAAAAATTGTTTTTCTGTTTTCAGGTTTTTGTATAAGGCTCCCGTTTTCATGTTCCTGTGTCCGTTTTCTGTCCTTGAAGTCTGCGAATACGTGTGTTTATTTAGAAATTAATGTAAGTCATGCTTATACCTTAACTAATTTACGTTAAAAGTACATGTAATTAACTAATTGGTATTGAAACAATACAATCCTCTATATTTTTATATTTATTTAGTCACGTTGTTCCATATTTCAAATGAATATATGTGAATAAATTATTTTTTGGTTTTATTTATGAAAAGAAAAAATACAAAATACATTTGAACTGAAAGAGGGCCCGCCATTGAATAACCGGAAACGGAAATGAAAATTAAGCCATCATGTCCTTATCATGTCAACCTGTCAATTGGAAAATTAGTTCTCCAGACGACAACGAAGGCTTTCGGTGGCGTATCGTGTTTCCACGATTTAACACAGAGTTGACACTTCTTTCTAGTTAATTATTTTATGGCTTAAGGTTTTTGAGAGTTGTCAAACTTTTGACAAATTGTAGGTTATAATTTTGTGTCAAATTATGTCAAATAGAAATGATAAATATTTTGCATTTTGGACTGTGTTATTACGTGTGCTTCGTGTTTTTTAAAATTAAGTGGAGGCAAACTCGAGGGAAAATTAAGTGTTGACTCAGACCACAGTTTACAGTTAATATTCGGTGCCCAGAGACCGCCAGAGACACAGTTTGCCGCAGACCAACCGCAGACTGCAACCAGAGAGTTGTATTAGCCCTGCACCCATGAAACGTTGCCGATTTGCCACAAAACAAATAAATTTCGTATACCATCTCGTATATGGTATCAAAAACTGGAGTATCTAAAAAATAACATCACACGATAGGTAAATAATATAGTACTACAGAGAGATAATCTTAAAAGGTATTGGTTTAAAAAAAAGATTCAAGTAGTTAACCAACTTTTAAGGTATAAAATTCAGTAAGTGTTATTTATTAATAAAATATATTTTTCTATGTATACTGTGTTTTATTTATTCCTTTGCAATATTATTTTTTTTTTATTTTTTGTACATAAGTTATATTGATAAATGTAATAATAAATGCAGGAAAATGCTTGAGCTTGAAAGTAAAAAATCTTTTTCTTTTTTTTTTTGGTATGTGGATGTGGTGTTTTGTTTAAAATACACCCTTGTTTGTTTTGTATTAACACATACCCTAATAACAAGTAATTTTATTTTGAAATAAAATAACTCAATTAGATTTTTTCAGTTTTATACAGTTTTTTTTTCACAATATTTTGAAGTAATCACTTGTCACTCAAATTTTAAATATATTTGTACCAACTTATTTCTTTGTAAAATAAAATAAACTACTTTGAAATTAAAATGACAGACGCATCTATCACTGTCAAGGATTGTGTCGTTGGACAATCTAATATAATATCCATTATAATCACAAGATTTAAATATTTTATTTGGTTTTTTATAGTTTGTTTTGGTGAACATTTTTCCAGAATTTAGGAAACTGCATATTATACACGGCGCGGTGTTCCAAAATAAATGCAAAAATCCTTAAGGGATGATTCATTGGTAATAATAATGTGTACCTTGTTATCTAAACGTTTAATCCAAAGTTAATCATTAGGAAGATATTGCGGTGTAAAGATGACAAGAAAATAGAATTTTAAAGATTTTATTTTTATTCTAAAAACAAAAATATATAATAATGAAATTTTATGAGAGTATTACTACTTTGTTTATTTCTATATTCGACATTCTGAGACAGTTTAAACAAAATATTAATTTGATCAAAAATTTGTTATTTGAAAAATGTTTTAATATTTATTTTGAAGAACGATTCGCTATACATATAGTGCGTTTATTGATTATATATTTATTTATTTTAATTATTTAATAAATATAGCTGTCATTTTTTATGTAAAATTATATAAGGAATGTCAATGATCGTCATTTCCAAATCAATTAGACGCTTTTTTTTCGATCATACGGGACTTGCGATAAGTCTTAAAACTTAACTTATCCTTTATCAAGGCTCCAATCATTCTATTATCGGCATGGAAGCTTAAAACTGGTTAGCGAGTAAATTTTAGTTTATTTTTATTTTATTATAGAATTGATAACTGCCTTGGTAAATGTTAGAAGAGAAATTGTTTGAAAAAGTTTTAAAAATATTTGCTATGAGACTACGTCTAATAAGTATTTAAGAGATGTTATCACTGCCATTTTGATGGCAAACAAAAGAAAAATAGGCCCGCGAGCCGTAAAAGAACTTATCGAAATATAGACTGTCCAGTAAAATTATTAGTAACTATCAAACAATTTCCTCCAGACACAAAATTAAAAAAATATGGGATTAGGAGGTAATAAATCCAAAAAATAAAAATATGTCTTAATTTTTTTCTATTCATATATTTTTTGATATGTTTTTCTTAGACTTAAGTTGTTTAGTATTCTATAAACAGAGTAATCCACCATCAATTTGCCATTAATAATTTACCTAACAGAAAGTATTTTTTAAGTTAACAAAATTTTAGTTAAAATTTTATACTAAAAATGACAAATTGAAAATTGCTTCGTAAAATTTTTGAAAATCATACTGCTTATTTTAAGTGGAATACACCGTAAAGTTTAATTTTAGTATTAAAGATAATTTCTGTTCAAGTCTGTTTTGGTTTGGTTTGGAACAGTTCTCAACAACATTTACC